GGTCTGCGCGGGACAGAATCTTCAGTCCCACTCCCACCTGCAAGTCCTGCAAGATGGGGATGTTTGCTTTCTTAAGGTCTATCAAACACGGAGAAGCGGAAAGGAATCATCTAAAATATGCACAAGATTAAACCGCATACGCAAATTTAGGCTGCTTAAAATGTTTTTATTAATGCCAAATAAAATATCCAGCACAAATTTTGCATGATAGGCATACATTCATCATTTGTATATTTTACTTTACACTCATTTAGTTTGCAGGACTGCAGTTTATCATGTCATCTGCCTGCTCCCGCAGTGTGCAGTGCTACTCCCACCCGCGCCCACAATGAGCTTTCAAAATGTGTCCCGCACTGCACTGTTTCGCATTGAGTCCCACGGGTGCAGAGCTCTAGATGTTCCAACACAGACGAGAGAGCAGCAGTGGACCTCAGTCTGCTGTACATCTCCACTTAAAAGCCATGGGTCACTCGTTTGAGGACAGTGAGGTACAGATGTTGGCCAGAGAAAAGAATTAGTTTGAGAGGGGAGATATAGAAGCAGTTTTTGTTAAGAAAGAGAATCCTTTCTTAAACAGAAATGGAGGGCTCAGACACCATCTATCTTCTATTTACAACTCCATCCTCAAACCTAAATCAAAACAAACAAGAAAAACAACAGGAATAGCCAGGCCAGGCCCAAAGGGGCCTGATTACTAATATGACCCTCAGTACAGCTCAGGAGGCCTACCTGAAACTATAGAAACTGTAAAAAGTAGGGTGTTAGTTTTAGAGTAGTTTCAGTGTAGTTAGCTCCTCCTTTCACAGTTATAAGAAAGTGTCCACCAGCGTCTGATCAACACTGAAGAAGCAGCTTGGATAAGCTGCGAAACGTATTCGACCAAATAAACTTTTGTCCAGTTGACAAATTGAATTTCTTCGTTTGCAATGGATTCTACCTGAGCACCTAGGATTGTACACAATCTGAGATTAATGTTTGTTTCTTTTTTTTGCACTGTCCTAGTTTTAAATAAAATAAATAATAATAAATAATAAAGAGCTATACTACGCTATTTTCAGTTTTTTGTTGTAATGTTTTTTCATCACAAACATACCTGGAGTTGTGTTTTGTAACAAAACAAAACTTTTGTTTCATTCACACTTGTTTAACAAATCCAGCAGAGTTCTTCTCTTGTGATGTTATGTGGTAATGAAGGTAAGGAAGTGCACCACTGTGTTTTTAAACTGCATACACTTTTTGTCAATTTCTACTGAACTAAAGGCAAAACGGAGCTGTAAACTTCAAAACAGATGCATGACACCACAAGTTGGAACGGAGCATTTTGAGTTTCAGAGATGTAGACAGACTAATAATAATGGTCAAAAGGATTACTCAAACATGTGTGAATGAAACAAAATACAACTCCAGGTATGTTTTTTGATGAGGAAACAACATTATAACATGACTAAAAGCTCACAAGAGTCAATTCTGTGTAATATATCAACTGCAAGTGTAATCAATAAATATGAAAAAAATTGCTTGCAAAATCAAAGTGCAGACCTGCTGACTCGGTGTTGCCTTCATTTTGGACTCATTTGAATTCACTGTTTGTTGAATTTGTATAAGCGACTGTACAGCAGTGTAAGAGACTTGGTTTGATCCCAGTGTAAAGCAGATTAAACAGAGCGAGCTCATTCACAAGAAACAATGGAGCATTTCTGTTTCATAATCAGTATTTGGCCCATGACACAGCAGCTCCTCCACAAACCCACTCAGCTCTCAGGAAAAACACAGAAACCCTCATACAGACACATGAAGGTACAGGGGAGGACATGGCAGCATCAAGGCACTTAGTTTAAATGCACACTCTCTCAAATTTTGACCTTAATTTTTATATAAGTATAAATTATAATTTGTCATCAATCAAAAAGCAATTCTCAAAGAAAAGTTGAAAAATAGGAAAATGAAAGGAAGTAGAAAGTTCATCATACTGGCAGGATTCTGTCCAAATGTTTGATACAATGTTTCTTACATTTTTATTTGTCAAATAATATTTTCTGTTCATGTTAGAGGTTTTTTTTTACTCAGCTAGGTAACAACGATGTCAGGATTTCAAAACTTTTTTTAAACTTAAAAAATTGCCAAAAAAAAAAACATTCTTAATACATTGTTTACTGTTTTAGTAAAATAAATGGTCTAATGGCTATCTCATACCCCCTTTCAGACCAGAACTACAGTGAATACATGCTCAAGGAAAAATACTGAAAACATAGAAGATGGTAAATATGTCAAACAACAAAGCAACAAAGAAGAGTTGTAGATTCTAAGTGGAGTAATCATTTTATTTAGATTGTAAGGATTTAGACTTTTTTTTAACTTGTAGTTCCAACCAAGTCAGCTCTTTCTGGTCAGTGGTACAATAAAGTAGCAGAGATTCTAACAGAGCAGTACTTTCAGTTAGCTTCACACCCACGGGGAATGTTGCCAGATGCAAAGTGTCAGTTGTGTAAAAATTGACAAATTCATTGCTCTCAAAGTTGCTTTACAATAAGGTTAATTGTTTGTTTGTTTGTTTGTTTGTTTGTTTACCTCCCATTCGCCTGTGCTAAGTTCTAGGCCTGGCACAGACATAATCATTCAACAGCCACTTCAGTTTTAATGACATAATCTGCTCATCTATCTGACCCATGGACAACAGCAACAACAACAGCATCCAATGTTTTTAGCATTTTACCTATGCTTGGTTTTATCTATGTCAATTAGCTTCATTTGTTTTACCTCAGGACAAATTTGTGCGGTCTGCCTCTAATTTTAAAGTGTTTTATAATATAGTCATAATCATTAAAGAGACGATATTCCGCTATTTTCTGATATAATGTTGTTTCCTCATGTTGTGTTTTGTTTCATTCACACATGCTTAACACAAAAACCCTCTGGCTGAGCTCTTCTTGCACACAGAAAACACTCCCACATGCAGTAATACACAAAGAGCTCTACATACACTTTCACTGGAATCATTTGGATAATTTCAGCCTTGAAATTCAAATTCTACTGAACAAAAGGTCGCTGTTAATTTGAAAACTACCACTACATGACATAACAAGGTGGAACAGAGCATGTGGAGATTTGGAGATGGATACAGATAATAATAAAGGACGACTCAAACATGTGTGAATGGTATGTTTTTGATGAGTTAACAGCATTATAACATGGTTTAAAGCTCACAAGAGTCAATTTTGCGTAATATAGACGCAATAACTGGACCTGTAAACTGTTTAAAATGAACTAGTTGTTATTATATATATTTTTTTAACAATGAGATCAGGTACAGCGTCTTTAAGAATACCCAGTTAAATATATTGCACACCCCTAGTGAAGAAGCCAGAGAAGAAAGTGGACTCAAGAGCGAGAGGCACAAGGCGACGGCAATAACAGACGTAGCCAAGGCAACAATTCAAAACATTTAACTTTTAATGGCCTGGAACTTCAACATGAGACACACATAACCCAGCAGGTCAGTGCACTGCTGCTACACAAACAAGTAGAACTGAAACAGAGAGTGCGACAGCCGCCATATGAAATTATGTGCAGAGTTTAAAAAAACAACAACAGTTAAGGCTCAGGGGGATCTCAAAGTACTTCCAAATAAACTTCAGAATAACTTTGATCTAGTGCATCTGGGGGTAGTTGGTGGAGAACAGCCTTTTTTAACAGTAACATGTCTTAAAAGTGCACTGTGTAACTTTTCTAGTGGGCGCTGCTTGTCTCCGTGGAGATGTTATTGCTTTATCTAGAATATTCCACTTTGCTACATTACAAGTCAAGGAATTACTGTATGTTTGAGCAATAGAAACACTTGAGATGAATAAATGCTAGATGGTCGGGATGTAACGATACACAAATCCCTTGGTACGATATTATTACGATATGCATCTCACGGTACGATATTTATTGCGATATTTTGGAGAGGCTGATGTAAATGTAGATAGGACACTTTTTTGCTTTTAAAATACCTTGACAAGATTTTGGCTTGAATTATTTCCATCATAATCCCAAGAATTCAAGTAAAAAACATATTTCTTCATGTTGTCTGTGCTGAAATGAATCATGGGATATGTAGTTTCCGATGTTTATAAGCTGTTGCTGCTATAAAACCATGCATTTAAGCAAAGGAACTTGTAATTCGATATATTGTGACAGCCCACGATATTATTGTGAGACTTTTGACGATACGATATCACGATATTTCCGATGGATTTGTTTAACGCCATACCATGGAACATTCCACGCAAAGCAATAACACCTCCATGGAGACAAGTAGGTAGAGGACGCTCCCCTAGAAAAGTTTTGCAGCGCAATTACGTTTTTGTTTAATATATGAAACCCGGAACAATATTTTTTTGGTTCTGTTTTTATCATATGAGCATTTACTTTACAATAATAGAACTATTTTTGTTATTTCTCTTGTAATGCAATAAGATTTGAGTTGCAGAGGGTTGAATCAGTAAGTTCTATGGATAATTATTGTTTGATTCTGCAATTTATTTGTTGCAGTTCGTGCCCTAAAACAATGCTGTATGTTTAGTTTACTGAGACTATCCTGCTTCGTTGTTCTTTTGTCAGTTGTTATAAAATAGTTTCAGTATGATCATTTTATCATACTTATCAAATTTTAGTGTTAATTACTAATCTAAGTTTACCAAAGTCATATGAAATGTAAACAAGGCATAGATGTCCCTGCTGCCTTTTGCACATCTTCACAGTATTTTAGTTTTTCTTTTCTTTTGTAGTATTATCATTAGACCTGACATAATAATATAATAATCACTATATCGACTTATTGTTCAATATAGATGAAGATGAGAATCATAAACGGTTGACATAACACCTCCTATGACTCATTACAGATGCAAAACTAAGTACTAAACTGTTTTATTCTGTAGTTTATTTATTGCAGATCATATTTTTGTCAAGAAAAATGAAGATTAAGAATAATTTTTGAGGTTTAATCTGACGCACTTCAGAATTTGTTATCGTGACAGGCCTAGATATCATTGGATAGACTTAACTGGGGTGAATTCACTGTTTATGAATACAGATAATTGCACACGTTTCAAAATAAAAGACAATTAAATAAGATAAAACATGTAATAGTTAGCTAGTATAGTAATCAAACTGAATGCTACTTTAATACTAACAGGTGCCATACTTATAGAAGTTTAAATCAATACAATGAAATGTTGTGCTATGTATTTTTCACAAGTGTGTTATGTAAACAACCAAAAGTTACTACAAATTAAAATAGCTTTGACCATCTCCAAGGCATTTACCATTTCTCTGTGAATTCAACCAAGATATGACCAGACAAAAGCATCTTGCATAGTCACTTTTAAAGGGCGCATATTACACTATTTTCTGATCTATGTTGTAATGTTTCTTCATCCGAAACATACCTGGAGTTGTATTTTGTTTCATTCACACATGAATATTTAGGCTGAGTTCTTCTCTCAAATGAAAAACACTCAGTTCCACCTTGTGATGTCATGCAGCAATAAAGGAAGCCAGAGGTGGGACCAAGTCTTTGTGTTGCAAGTCTCAATTAAGTCACAACTCTTTGACCTCAAGTCCAAGTCAAGTCCCATGTCAAATACAGGCAAGTCCAAGTTGAGTCTCGAGTCACTGGCCAATAAGTCCAAGTCCAAGTCATCTGCTTTGAGCTTCAAGTCATTTCAAGTCTTTCAACCAAAGTATCAAATAAAGCTTAGATTTTTGCAATTTATATGACCTTTAATATAAATTGTACCTAAAAAATCATAGTATGTTTATATATGAGTATTTATAGAGTATATAAGAGTTGTAGAAATAATTTTTTTCTTTTTTAAATGTCTTGACAAGATCTTAGTGTGAATCATTACGGTCATAATAGAAATAATTCTGATTTAAAAGTGCTTCTCAAGTCTTCTCAAGTCACAGGCCTCAAGTCCGAGTCGAGTCCCAAGTCTCTGACCTTCAAGTCCGAGTCAAGGCCCAAGTCTTAGTCCATTTTATCAAGTCAAGTCTCAAATCCCAAACATAGTGACTTAAGTCTGACTCGAGTCCAAGTCACGACTTGCAAGTCTCCACCTCTGCAGGAAGCCGACCACCGTGTTTTTAAACCCCATACACACCTTCACTAGAATCATTGGGGTCATTTTAGCTCTGGAGTTACTAATCTCTGTTGAACTAAATGTAAAAGGCAGCTGTTAACTTGAAAACCACCCTTTATGACATCACAAGGTGGAAGAGAGCATTTTGAGCTTTGGAGATGCAGACAGCCCAACAACGCAAGATTACTCTAATATGTGTGAATGAAACAAAACACAACTCCAGGTCCAAGTCTTAAAGCTCACAAGAGTCAATTCTGCGTAATATAGGACCTTTAAAACCACTTTCAACATGTGTATTGTTATTATGCAACTATCAGTGGCGGATTTTTTTTTGTTATAAGATTATAAAAACACTATGTAAACAACTAAATCATCTGAGCTCTTTGTGATCATGGTCCCTCACAATATTTACATCAGACTTTGTGGTTTGCATGTCATTTACATAATCTTAAATCAGACAATAATCAGATTTTGAGGTGTGTTTGAACATAGCCACTGTGATGATAATAATAATAATGCCCATTCAGAATACTGTTAGCATTTCTTTCAATTTACATGACATGGTTTAAGAACGGACTTGTCGCATATGGACAGTTAGATAAGCGCTTTCAAGGCAGCCATTTTAACCCAAGGCAGTCCTCTTCTGTCCAAAGTAAAAGTGCTGCTATGTCTCTGTTTTTTCTCATCTCAAAACTCCTATTGGTCCAGTATTGGATTAATCCTTAATCCTAGGCCATAACTTGGGACTTACCTCTTTGGACCTGCCTAATCTGCTGAGCTATGTGTTTTCCACTTGGTGAACAAACATCTGATTACTTTATTTTGTAATTCAGGTTTAGTCAAATCCACTCTGAAAATTATTATTCCAACTTTTTTTTTTTTTTTCCAAATTCATAACTTGCTTTCTGACACTTCCTTCCCGTTGCTATGCGTGTCTTTTGGAAGTGCGTTGCTAGGGTCTTGAACGTCGGTATCGCTCCGTGGGATGCTTTCCGCTCTAGATCCTGATCCTTTAGCTCCCAGCGTTAGACTTTTCTGAAAACTTTCGGATGTGAAGTAGTACACCACAGGGTCCAAGCAGCAGTTCAGGCTAGCCATGCAAAGGGTTATGGGATACAGAGTTCGTGCAAATCTCTCCACGGAACAGTTAGCCAGCGCCTGGGTCCGGACCAGCGCGTAGAGGAAGAGGATGGAGTTGTAGGGGACGAAGCAGATGATGAAGATGCTCAAATGGACCACTATCATCCGTAAGACGCGCTGTTTGTTGTCGCTGTGGCCGATGGTTACCGGGCGACGGAGGGTGCGGAGGACCAGGGAGGAGCAGACAAGATTAGCCAGGAGCGGAAACAGGAAACCCACAATCTGGAAATACAAGAAGAGTGAAATCATACACCGGATGATCCAATAAGAATTACATTAGTGTATTTGAATGAACAAGGCTCCAGGGCTGTGTGTTTCAATACTTCTTATTGTTATCTCGACTCAAAACACCAAAAACAATAAAAAAAGACAGTCGCATTATTAAATCAAAATGTCCAAAAAAAAAGAATAACAATTTCTGATTTTGATCAATAATACACTATTTGTAAATATTCTCTCCAGTGATATAAAAGAATGAGATCTTCGCACATCAGTTACTTGACACGGGTGCGTTGGAGGAGAGGGAGCAGCCCAAGAACATAGAGAAAAATCCCGCACACCATCTTACTTGCAAAATGTGAGATTTATTAGGACAAACTAATATGCAAATAAGATGGTGTGCGGGATTTTTCTCTAAATATTCTCTCCATAAAAGTACAAACAAATCGCAGTGTACAAGAGAAATAATAATTTCAGTAGTCGAAAAATGATAGCAGACTAAATTACTTGTTTATTGCAGCTCTAGTTCTGTCGTTGTGTTGTTGTTTCCTTGGGCAAGTCATGTAACCCACTTTGCCTGTATGAATGCAGCGTGAGGGAGGGGCAGATATTTCCGATTGGTGCAGAGTGGCAGCCTTGTTTTCATCAGTTTACCCCAGGGCAGCTGTGACTTCAGAATTAGTTTACCACCCAGTATGCACTGAATGAATAATGACTACAGAAAATGTTTTGAGAGGACTGTAAAACTTGTATATCACAATACAAAGACACATAAGACGTCATCAATATTATCATGAAAATAAACAGAAGTGAAAAAAAAAAAAAGAATAGTGAATTTACAATACACTATTAAAACTTCAAAGAAAAGATGTGAAACAAAACATCAGATGTGAAACTGTGATCTGTTAAAGGGAAAGGCCCAAACCATAACAATGTGGTGAAAAGCAAATGTGCTGCTGTGATGACAGACTGAAAGAGTTCACTAACAGATGAATGCTTATAATCACATGACTTTAGACTGTTTCTCTGACTGAGGTTAGGGCCTTTCCTTAAACCACAAGACTAAACAGAATTTCTCTCCTTTCAAAAAACATCACTGACCATATTTGATTAAATACAATCCATTTTCTGTTTATTATTTAAGGTAATTATATACGGTCTACATTACATTCTACTGAAACACGTAGTAATGGTTTTCACATTATCAGTTGTAGTCATGTAATAATCTCAGATGGGGGAAAGATAGTTTTACCTTTAGACAACCTGCTATTTTTTTTTACTTTTCTGGTGGAGGGTTCGCCACCTGTTTGTCTTCATGGAAATGGAGGGAAACAAGGGAGACAACTACAGGCTACATTGCAGGTCAGATCTATGGAGAGGCAATCCTATTCACAGAGAGAATTGTTGTATTTTTGAGCTGTAATTTTTAGTGTTTAATGTCATACCACGGAACATTCCAGGCAAAGCAAGCACATCTCCATGGAGACAAGCAGGTACCGGACCCTGCACCAGAAATGTATGTAATGCACTTTTAAAGAAATATCCCATAGAACAGGGGTGTCCAAACTTTTTTCATCAAGGGCCACATATCTAAACACAGACAAAGCAGAGGGCCAATCAAGGGCCGTAGACTGGAGCTCAATACAGTGAATAATTGAAATATTTGCATGTTTAACACGTTAGAATGAGCCACCAGTCTTTATTCATGCTAAGATTCTTAAAACCACACACTAAATATTAAATATTAGCTTTATCAAAGTAGATTTTCAAAATGCTTGCAGTAAAAAGTAAATTTTTAATTGATGCAAACTAATTTGGGCCAATTCACCTGGAAGCCTGAGGGCCAAGAAAGCTTTGTCTGAGAGCCGCATTTGGCCCACGAGCTATCGTATGGACATGCCTGCCATAGAATATTCACAAATGTTGAGGCTGTTCCTTCAAAATACTAATGACAAGATTCCCAGTACTCCCTACAACTAAAATGGTGCATGGACAATGTCATTTTTTACCATTTTATCTGTTATTATAGGCCATAAAGGTACAATGTGTAACTTTTCTGGTAAGAGTCCAGCACCTGTTTGAGTCCATGGATATATGCCAATGAGACTGCTTTCGCTGTGATGTACCACAGTATGGCATTAAACTTGCTTATTGTATAATTACTGATGTTTTACAGTAAAACAATATGTTGAAAAATACACAGGCCCACCTCTCCACAAATTGGACCTGTACATTTTTTTAAGTGGCTTGTTGCTTGTCGCTACAGAAATAGATACGTTTAATATCATACTGTGAAAAATTCCAAGCAAAGCAACAACATCTCCATGGTGACAGACCCCATACCCACTATGTTACACAGCTCACCTTTTAGAAAATTGTGATACGGACTGAAACACAGAAAAAGTTTAGTTTGAACAGTGGCCTTTAAACAGTTTAAAATTATGCTTTGGGATTGTAATAAATAGTAAAAGATTATAAAGATGAATGGTGACAGTAATATTAGTTTCAGTATAGTGACTAAAAATGTTTATTAAAAATGGGGGGAAAGAAAAAAAGGATTAATTAATTATAGATTGGCTAAAATAAATCAATGTAAGGGGGTGCTGCACTACCACATGACTTTTGTTTTATTTAACTAAACTTGTGTTGGTACAAAATACATAATAAATTTGTGGTGGGTGTTGCTCTATGTTTTTGTGTTTTGTGTTTATGTTGATTATTGTATTAGCATAGCAGACAACCCAGTAATTAGGTCTAATGTTCACTGTGTGTTTAGATTAACAAAATATGAAATCTGATAATCAAAGTATCAGTTATGGATTGATAAATTGAATGGATTTTTGTTGTATTTGGAAGACAAAGTACAATTAACTTGAAAATAGCAGTTTCAGTTTGTAACATTTTCCCTCCTTTTGGCATTTGTTTCATTAGTTAATTTCCATTGTCGAAATTTGCAGAGAAAATTACTCAGAATCAGATGTAATTGTTTCCATGGCATTTAAAAACTCCAGAAATCAGTTCTATATTAGGGGACTGCCCAAAAACTAATCACTACAGGTGGACAAATTATTGACATATTGATGTTGCCATGAAGATAGGCAAAGTTTGAATATCATGTGTATTTTTTATAATTAAAGCAGCAGATGTCCTGATGTTGTAATCGTATAATATTTATATATTTCTGAACTTATGTGGGCAATTTTATTGTCTTTTCACATTTGTCTGTCACAACTAATACATTTAAAGTGACTGATTTTCATAATTCTTTCATTTTGAATTAAATTGGCGAGATAATACCTGTTGTAAATATAAATTATAGTCTTAATCCAATCAAGAAACCAATTGTAAAGAAAAGTTGAAAGATATTTTGAAAATAACAGGAAGTAAAAAGTTCTAAACATACTCAGGAGTTCACACAAGGGAGAATTCCAAAAGTTCAGCACAATTTACACTTTTTTTCCCCTACAAAATATAGGTGTTTTCTTCAGATAATAGTTTCTGTTTACATTAGGGCAGTTTTGCTGAATAACATTTATGGAATTCCCTAGTATGATGTTGTGATTTCTAACCATGAAGTAAAATGTTGAGCCTAAAAAATTGTCTAAATATGAAAATAAGTGGGAATGTTTTTTGAAAAAATCTTAAATATATTGATCTTAACTGTGTTTTAGTAAAGTAAGTTGTCCAAAGTTTCATAGGCACTTACAGGTGCACTATGTAATTTTTTGGCTGAGGTTCATCATCTGTCTGGAATATTCCACAGTATGACATTAAACAGTTCTATCTTACATTTGTTCAATTACAGGTGGTTTTATAGCTCAAAAATACCAAGAAAAACTGGCATTCTTACGAGAAATTCCAATTTGAAGGACACAATTAGCTGCCACTTTTGACGTACCATAATTTTCTCCACAAACAACCAAAAATATTGTGTTATTCTGCATAAATGTTCATATTTCAGTCATTTTGTCAATTCTGGATGTGTTTAAAGGTGCACTATGTAACTTGGAATGTTCCACAGTATGACATTAAACAGTTCTACCTTACATTTATTCAATTACAGGTGGTTAAAGCTCAGAAATACCTACAAAAACAGGTATTCTGATTGCGAGCGGGGTCGCCTCTCCACAGATCTGACCTGTAACTTGGTCTGGTTTGGGCTCCATAATGATAGAAAAGTCATACTGTGATTTCAGACAAAGCAATAACGGCTCCACGGAGAAAAGCATTTGATGAACCCTCCACCAGAAACGTTACACAATGCACCTTTAAGCACATGTAAAAATAAATAAATAAATACATTAAAAAATCTAGATATTAGTTTAATTGCTGATATTCCTTTCTCTCACCTCGATGAAGATGGTGATTTTGGACAGGTAGGTCTTCCAGGTGCTCTTGGAGAACCCCTCGAAGCAGGTGGTGGCACTGTGCTTGTTGTTGATGGTGGAGAAGAACGTAACTGAAATCCCTCCACCGACGATCGTCAACCAAACGGCCGCACAAACCAACGCTGCGTTTCGCCGAGTTCGGATCGACCTGGACCGAAACGGGTAGACAATCGCCAAAAATCTATCCACGCTGATACAAGTGAGGAACAGCATGCTCCCATAGATATTAGTGATAAAAGCAGTGCCAGAGACTTTGCACAGCCCATCTCCAAAAGGCCAGTGACGATTGACGTTGTAGAAAACCTTGAATGGCAACGTGAACACGAAAACTAGATCGGAGAGAGCTAAGTTAGTCATGAACATCGTAGTTTCGTTGCGCATTTTCATCCGGAAGCAGAAGACGAAAAGCGCGGCGCAGTTAGTGACCAAACCCAACACGAAGACCACACTGTAGACCACTGAGTAGAGGTTGTACTTGAAGGAATCGTCAATCCCACAATCTTCCATTCCCGTCTCGTTCAGAACAAGACTCGCCATGATTGTAGTTTTTTTTTTTTTTTTTTTAGAAGAATCCTACAGAAGGAACGTCAAAGGGAAATAGTAAAAAACAGGATGGATACGTTGGAGTTGCAGGGAGATCAGCAGGGGACAGGAGCAGTTATGTCCAACCCAAAGCCATTGCGAAGAGTGGAGCTTTCTTAGATTGAAGATGTCAGAACTCAAGGCTGCAGCTCCTACAAAAGAGAGAGAGAGAAACAGGAAAAACTCAGTCACTTCCTCACAATAAAAACTCACACCGAGGAACAAACAACTTCACAGCCACAATGGAGGAATCCAGCTGACAGAGGCCATAGAGACATTGTATTTAAATGTAAGTACAGAGGATGAAGTGTAATGTGCAGGATACTATGAGAGAATAGTAATCATAATTTAAACAACTTTTTTTTATGCTTTTAAACAACCTATAGAATGGTACTTTGCTTTATGTGAAAACAAAAATTATCTAGAAAAGAACATCATGGATAAGCAGCATTTTTCTGCAAAATGTGGAGGTTTAAAGGAGCATTGTGTAACTTTTGTAGTGGGAGGTCTGTCAAATACTTTTCTCCTTAAAAGTGTTATTGTGTTGTCTGGAATATTTCACAGTACAGTATTAAATCAGAGTGTAATGATATCCAAGTCCTCACCATATGAACCTTACGGTACGATATTTATTACGATATCGTGGGAAAGCTCATGATATGGTGGAGACGATGATTAGGGACATAACAATATCCAGATCTCTTTGTACGATATTTTTACATTATACATCTCACGGTACGATATTTATTATGATATTTTGTGGAGGCAAACAAAACAGTTCATATGCTACTTGTTCCTTTTAAAATGCCTTGACAAGATTTAATCCGAAGAACTAAGACTTAAAAGTGCTTAGAACTGTTATTTCTTCTTGTAGTCTACACTGAAATGGAGCAAAGGATCATGGTCTATGTAGTTCCCTCTGTTTTATTTATTTATTTATTTAGCTATTGCTGCACCATAACTCTTAATTTAAGCAAAGAGACTTGTAATTCGATATATTGTGATGGTCCACGATATTATTGTGAGAACTTTGATGATATATCACAATATTTTGGTTACTGTTACATCCCTAGTATTAAACCTTTCTGTCTTCATGGAGACCAAACCAGACCAGGTTACAGGTCAGATCTGTGTAGGTGGCGACCCCGCTCACAGTCAGAATGCCTGTTTTTCTAGATATTTCAGATATTTTAAGCAATACAACCACCTGTAATTGAATAAATGTAAAATAGAGCTGTTTGATGATGTTATACTGTGGAACATTCCAGGGAGAGCAATGACATATCCATAGAAACAAGCAGATTATGGACCCTTAGCCAAAAAGTTACATAGTGCACCTTTAATGATGATTATTAGTATACAAAATGTACCACAAATCTTTTTAGTAATATTATTTTTGGCACATCCCTACTGCAAAACTAACGTTATTTTCATGAAGTCACTGAGAATTGGCATCTGCATTGTGTCAGATTAATTGTGCAAAAACTAGGTATTACACAGTATTTGTGAATATACTCGTGTACTATGGAACTTTTCGGCTGGTCCGCAACCTTCTTGTCTTCAAAGATGTTATTGATTTGATTGTTCCACAGTATGGCATTAAACTGATTCTATATCCGTGGAGACAAGCAGCTCATCCCACAGGTTCCACACATGTCAGATCCTCAGTCTTCTACAGTTTCCAGGGACTGCAGATGGATGCAGCTGCTAAATCTGGTACAAATCATCTTTTATAAGACTAAAGAATGGTCCCTGACAAATAAAGCACACAGAGAGAAAGATCAAGCCCACTCACATTAAAAATACATGTTTTTCCTTGACAACACTAAATTCAATTAAATGAATGAAAGATAGATCAATTTAAAACCATACTGTGAAACATCCCAGGTGAAGCAATATAATCTACATGGCAGAGGACTCCAACCTTTTTCCTTCTGTGAGCTACATTTTGTAAATTGAAAATGCCTCAAAAATGCCTCAAACTACTCATTTTAGCGTTTGCCAGAAATGGAGTAAATATAAGAGCCATGGCAAGCCTTAGATGAGGAACAGATGCCTATAAAACATAAACTATTTTCCACTTAGCAGTGCACAAAATTAGGCATCAAACAAAATGATACATTTACATTGGAAATAGGCATTGAATCAAATTTGAGTTATTCTGGGCAATTCGTATAATTCAGAAATCCCTTGATGAGCTACTTGGAAGGAGGTGGAGAGCTACTGGTAGCTCCTAAGATACAGGATGGAGACTGCTCCCTGCTCCATGGAGACAAACAGTTGACAGACCCCCTCCAAAGAAGTTAGATATATTAGAAAAAAAAAAAATAATATATATATAGATATATATATATATATATATATATATATATATATATATATATATATATATATATATATATTCAGATGTCAAATGTCTATTTTTAACCTAAATCCTAAATCTTATTGATACTGCAGCTGATCATCATCAACATTCCCTGGTGGTGTGATGGTAACTAAAGGTTCTGCTCTGTCTGAGGCTTTGTTAGACTTGTTTGTTTGCTTTGTTAGACCATAAAGAACGATTTAGCTAAAATTAAAATGGATGAGCTGATTTGTGTTGATTTGTCATAATCCAGTCAGTCTCTTTCACCTTTTTGAACATCAGACACATAAACAGGACCATGAACACTTGTACTGATCAAATGCTCCTGAAAATATATGCTGTTTAAATCAATTTTGTATTTTTTGAGTTTTCAGATTATCTTGTGTTGTGTCACCTGATCTAAATATACATCTCCAGCAGTGACTCTTTTGAAATGAATGGACAGTTTCCTTGTACGTGGCTGTGTGTGGCCTGCCCCTGATGTGCCCCTGTGTTATCTGCTCTTATAAACGGGTCTCATGTCTCTGAGCTTCTGCCCTGGGACTGTCTCTGTTCTGAAGAGGGTGAGATAAACCACAGGAACATACTGAAGATTATAGCAACCTAAACACTACTGTACCAGGCCCATAATTTACACGTAAGACTGTAAATACAGCTAGAGTGTAATTGTAAGGCTTAAACTGAAGGCGTGTTCAATAGCCAAAATTACGGTGCAGTATGTTTGTGGTTTATCTTTTACAATTGTGTTATAATTACATGGAGTTAAGACAAATATACATGGGAACAGACAGCAAACAGCTCTCCAAACCACTTCTTTGGTTGGTTTGATGACAACATATAACTACTAGTAAGTATAAACTAGCAAGGACAATGGATGCTACTTGTTAATGTTTACTTATTCAAATATGTATTTTGAGTATCTATCTATCCTTTGGCAGCTCATACTCCCAGTGACCCAAATGGCATGTAAAACAATAAAACCTATTTTTAGTTTTTGTTACATAAATACGAAACACTCCAAACTAGGGATGGGCATTCGATGACATTTTCTTAATCAATCATCGAAAGAATTAACGATCGATTATCGATTAATCATTAATGTTTTTATATTAAAATGATCATTGATCATGATCATTATTATTACTATCTGCACTACTAATCTGCATAAATAAATTCAACTTTACGACATATAAACCGTAACCACTCTAGAGCCACATCAGCCCGTTTGAGATTATAATGTGTTTAATTCAGTTTTGCGCAACTCTCACAAAAACGAAACTTAAAACCATATCGCTTATTTGCATAAACTAAGCGAAGATAAAAATACAGCTCTTGTGTCGCTGATGCGGTTCAACTTCTGTCAGATTACAAGACACGACTCAGTGGAATACAGGTTAGTGGGACCATATTTGCATTTGTCAGAACCAGGACACCGTACAGGGGGTGGGAAGTGGGGCCTCGTCATCGACATTGCGCTACTCTCACCTGGCAAATCTTTTTCCCACTGGACACCGAAACATATGTGCACGGCACGTTGCAGACTGACCTCTCTCCTGATCCTTCTCTGTCCTAATGGTAGAGGCACGTTCACATTCAGGAGGCACTTGACTCAGATGTGTCTTTTGTTGGTCTTTGGTCTCGCCCTAATTGTTTAGTTTTCATTTCAGCTCGAAAACTTCACAGAGGGCACTAGCAAGTTCCTGCTAGTTCCCTCACAGATGTATTGCAGATACAGCAGATCTCCATGTAAGCATTGCTCTGATGTTGTACCCTGTATCTTGTATCCTCTTTGACCATGGCCTGCTCATTCAGTTTTTATTTCAGTTCTGAAACTTCACATTTGGCACATGCAAGTTCCTGCTTCAAGTTGAATTTCACACTCACGTAGATGTTGTAGACTTACATTATGAGTTTCCTTGTAAGCAGCATTCTGATTTTGCTGTTTACTTTCTGTATTTTGGAGAGTCTTTTGAGCCTCTTTTGATTGGTCAGTCTCTCTCTAGGTTTTCAGTCTCAGTTGTTGGGACTTATTGCCCTAAACCTGCTCATCAAGTTGAGCTTTCATTGTGGCCAACTGTTTTCTGAGCTGCAACCTATGCTTAGTAATAGACAGAAGATTTGATTTGCTTTAGGATTTTTTTTTTTTTTTTTTTTACAAGAAACTACAAAATCAGAATGAAAAACAAGGTTAAAAACTGTTATTGCACTATTCTGTTTTACGGCACTGCTATGATACTGTGCTATCCATGAAAAAACAGGATACTTGCCATAGCAATTATCTATTATAAACAAACTTTTTCTCTTGTGAATGGGAAACAGTCCTCAAAATGGCACCTAGAAACCGTTAGTTGAATACACACAAGTAAACTGAAATGCAGGCTTAATTTTATGGTGCCTTGTTTATTTCCTCAATGCATTTGTGAATGAAGAAATAAACCCTTTGACTGGACCTTTACCATTCAAATCTATTCTCCCGAGTCCTTCATCTCTCTATAGACCAAACTCTAAACCGTGCTATAACTTATTTAAACGTCCGGAGAACTTTAATGTGTTTATTATGGTTTAAATGGGCTTGCTTGGATGGGACTCTCCCTGTATTCTGTCTCTTTGCCTCATTCACAAAGCCTCTGGTGTGAGTGTGGGCAGTCCATCAGCGCTGCTCTGTGCCAGCTGCGGTGTGACATCTTTACTGCAGTTTCACACGCCCTCCCTCTCCCCAGGCGCCTCCTTCTCCTCTCCAAGTCCTCCCACCTCTGTGCACAAAGCTCTACTGTAGCCATATGTAAC